GCTTGTTAGGAGGTGACCCAGGAATAACTTTTTCTAGATTCTGTTATAAAAATGAAAATAACGATCCTGCACATTGCTTAAAAGAAGGTAGAAAAGTTTCTAGATGTGCTATCGACTTGTGAGTGTCAATAAAGTAAGATTTTATGATAATGTAACGATATCTGACCGATTAATGTCCCTCGTTGAACGTGTAATAATTATTACAATCCTTTATAGAATTCGTAAGGTGCGTGAACATTGTGATCCAGAGTTTGAAGCTCATTGGCAATGCTTAGATAGAAACAACCAAGAACTTCGTCATTGTAGAGGATTGGAACGAAAATTTAATTCATGCGTTTTTAATGCACTGGTATGTCCTATTATTTGATATAAATACTGTCAAAAGAAAACACGTAAATCTTGATTTTGGGGTTTCACTTTACGAAACATGAGCCTGCCGATCTCTGAAGAATCGAATATTCAAGTACAAAATTCCCATCTATTTGTAGTTTTGATCAAATTAATTTAATAGTCATATTATTGTCAAAACGGTTTAATCATATTAGTTCTTAGGGATTGGTAATCTCATAACCCATGAAGCAAGAATTCGAAAATTTAGATTCCTTTAGCCATGCTTATATCAGGTGTCATAGTGTCTAAAACATCTGCTAAAGTCTCTATATCATTTTTATAACAGAATCTAGAAAAAGTTATTCCTGGGTCACCTCCTAACAAGCCTCCTATTCATCTTAAAGAGAGGCCTTTATATAAAGAACGTCCACGTTGGTAAAGATTCAGAATAGTTTGGATTTTCATTGTAACATGAGTTGTTACAAAGATTTTATCCTAAGTAATTATAAATTTGAATCATAATGAATTCATAAAAAAAGCAAAAGTTGGCTCTCGTTAATATTGCTTTAAAATTATCTATTTCATTTATTTGAAAGCAACAATAATCAATTCAATGTATTGTCTAAACTTCTAATACTTTCTCTTAAGCGTACACCCTTTTTAAATGTTTATGACCTGGTTCAAAATTTATAATTACTTAGGATAAAATCTTTGTAACAACTCATGTTACAATGAAA